TTATTTAATTTATAGTCATAGTTTCGATTCTCTCTTTTTCGCTCTACCATTAAAAACCAATATTACCTAAACAATAATCCATAAGCTTCTATTAAGCACTTCTTGTATCCCTAGCACAAAGTGTTTACAGAGCACTTATTTAAATTAACAATTAACAAACCCAGAATATCTTGGGATGTTTACTATGTATCAATAACCATGCAGTCAAAATTTCTCAAGAAATTCTATAAATTCTACAAAGAGCTTAATTTCTTGCCGCAGGGACAGAGGAGAACAGGGGGCCTTAAGTAGATAAATGTTCCTCCTGGAAGAGCAAAGGAGCTGTTAGTAGAGACCTCCCTGATGGAGAACCACCACTGTAGCTCTTCCTCTTAATGCCCAAAGGCTCCCTCTTGGCTGGGATATTGCCATTTTTCAATTCTTACTCTAATTTCACAACATCCTTTGTAGGTACTAGTGGCATTCATTTTGATGAATACCTATGGCGTCTCTAGAAAAGATAGAGAAGTCTAGTAGAGCAAGTATTAGTTTGGGAGCAAGAAAATGAGTAAAACATCACTAGGAAGATAGATAAAGATGTGGGCGGTATTGGCCAGCTGCTCACCAGTCCAGTTTTCTTCCTGGGCACACAGCTGAACAGAATTTCCAAGTCCTCCTCGTCCCTGTGATTGAGGTCTGGGCGATGGAAAGTGAGTGGAGGTGAAATGTACCAGGTCCAGGGTGGGCCCATAGCCACTTCCCACGGATGGTCCTCCTTTCTTTCTCTACTGGCTGGGTGTAGAGGACTCTCAGGCCCTAGGTTTCCACAGATGGAAGGAGCCTAGGTCCCTGGCTTACCTCGTGAACTCCCCTGCCAGTCAGGGAAATAATTTGAACTTCCATCTGAAGGAGAATTGAATTGTGTCTATTCACTGAATTTTGGAGGATTTTGTCAGTTACAGCAGGTAGCATTATATTGATTAAGGGTTGATTAAGTATGTCTCATAGTGTCCAAATAATCTCAAGCCAGAGGTGGTATGATTTAAGTCTTGTATTCTGTAACATAGAGATGTGGGTGGGCGGGCACCGAAACAAGCCTGCAGGAGTTCAAATCACAACTCCACCATTTTTTACTCTGCCTTTCTCACTAGTCAAATAAGCATACTAGTATTTCCTCATGGGGCCCTTGTGAGAATACATGTGTATAAGGTATTAAGTACAGAACGGGAACATAATATGCACAATATAAGTCTTAGTTATCATTGTTATTATTACTATTGATGTTACTATTATTTATGACTAGACTTATTTTTTAAAAAATAAGACAAATGAAACATTTAATCTGCAAGTTAAAAGCATTGTAATAATAGATAGCAGGTGTGGCGATTCTACTTGTCAAACATCAGTTGTTTTTTAGTATCTGAAGCCTAGGCTGATGAAATTATTACTCAACATTGCTAAAATATTTATACAACCCCAGTCCCTTGAGAACAAAAATGGTAATAATGCCTCAGAACCACTATAGTATTACAGTCGTTTGTGTTGCTGGTGATGGAATCAATAGTTCACTTTGAAGGCTCACTTTAAATTCCAATTTAACTTTAAAAAGAAAAAGAAGTTCTTCTAAAAACATATGAGATAATATTATAGCAAAATAAGGGTTTTGGGGAAAATACACTAATGATTCCTGTAACACTTTTTTGTCTTTTTAAAAATACTTGAAGAAAATCTAATTGATATTCACAATAGACGTTCTGAGATCTGATGCCTGCATTTCCCTTGTATTATTTTAGTTGTAGAGCTAAACTGAACTGTTAGAAGATGAATTTTGCCATCTGGGGATGTCTCCTTCAGAGTGATGGGATAATGTCTGTAGTAGTTGTTTTTGAAACGTTGGAAGGACAATTAAATCAGGGATGCACATTTGAACTCACTGGATCGCAAGACTCCTGTTATCCGTGTGTTCTAACCTTGTGATACGAGATAAACCAGCGTCCCTGACAGCATCTGTCTCTAGAAGCTGAAAGAACATATACTTCGTTGGATTCTTCTCTCAAAAGTGGTGTAATCATAGGAGCTTGGAATTGAAAGAAACTTTAAATGTCATTCCTAACACACATTTCTGTCCTCATTTGTATCATAAAAATAAAAGCCTTGACAAATTAGCTAAAATGTATAACTCTCTCAGGAGCAATTCTTTCACATAGAAATATACAGCAACTTCACATAAAACGCATTGCTTTTGACTTATGGCTTCTGTTTCTAAGTGGAATCTGTTGAATGATGGGCATCTTTTTTTTCCTCAGGAAGAAAAACTGCAGTAACCATTTAGTACATGAGGCATGCGTGCCAGGAGACTGCCCTGGATCAGTTGTTCTAAATCCATTTCAGAATATGGCTTAGAGCCAGGGGTGGGCAAACTTTTTGACTCGAGGGCCACAATGGGTTCTTAAACTGGACCGGAGGGCCGGAACAAAAGCATGGATGGAGTGTTTGTGTGAACTAATATAAATTCAAAGTAAACATCATTACATAAAAGGGTTCGTTTTTTTTTTTTTTTAGTTTTATTCATTCCAAACGGGCCGGATCCGGCCCGCCTCGCCCCCTGCTCCATCAGCGTTTATGGAGCCTGTCCAAAGTGTCTCTCTTTTTTTTTGCCCTGAATTGTGTACTAAGATTTTTTGTTACCTGTTTACAGTGTTGAATCTCTCTGTGTGATTTCATTGCATCCTCAAAAACTGCTTCTCATAAATGCCTTCCTATCACTCATAAAGGTCTTTGGTCCTTTTTAAATCTGATTGTTTTCTTGTTGAGTTTTCAGTGTTCTTTGTATATTTTGGATTACAGTCCTTTATCGGACGTGTCTTTAGCAATTCTCCTCTCCCAGTCTGTGGCTTATCTTCTTTCCGTTTTTAAGACCAGCTAGTTTTATAGAAAACGAGAAACTAGTCTTGAGCGGCGGCAACTCTGCGGAGAGCATGCCCTGGGTGGTGTGAGGGGAAACGTGGAAGGATCTGCTTTGCTGCCTCTCTCAGTGTAGCTTGAAGGAAAGTGCACGTTAACATGAGAAGAAAGGAGAGAGCAACGGAGGTGTTTACTTCTGTGTCAAATGCCATAGTCCAGTCGTGATGAGCTCACAATTTAGCAAAGGATTGAAGATGGACTGAGGCACAGTAGGGTTCTTTGTAGAAATGGAACTTAATCTGATTGGCCCAGCGAGCGAGGCAATAAATGAAACTCCACTTGAGAAACAGAATTCAGAGTTTTTATCATTTTAGTTTACATTGTAGAGGGTCATTTAGTTTATGTGGATTATGCTTGAGATTTAGAGCCTGAATATTCTCAAATACATTAAGGATGGGCTTTGTTTACCTGAAGAGACTAGGACTGTACATCCTTTGTGGTTCCAGCTGATTCTGTTTGTAGCAGATGCTGGTTTGTGTGTCTCATAGGGTGCGTAGAAAGAATAAATTAGCTTGGCATATTTGAATGCAGATAAGTGTATTATAACATTTTCTAAATATTGCACACTGCCATTTAAAAACATATTCTATATGGTGTATTTTTTCAAACCTATGGAATATTTGCCTTAGGTAATTCCACTTCTTAATGTTTTGAACTATCAAAATAGTCTGGTTTTTAAATTTTAACTTCATTTTGAGGTCAGTTGTCTATTCTAGTTTTACAATTTCTCCTCATTATACAGCTAAATTTGTGTGATCCTTAAAGCATGCTACACACATGTTAACATTTCACAGGGGCATTTTTTGAATACCGTTGATTTAAAAATTTCCATTGTCAAGGTCTTTCAGAAGGATTTGACTTTATGGATAGATTTGAGGAAAGCTGCTGCTGTTCACAGTTATTGTTACCTGTGTATCGGGAGCCACCTATGTATGTATCTAAATTAGTATGTGTGAAATCTGCCTCATTACTCTGGCCTTATAATGATTGATTTCTGTGCCACTCCAGACTCAATTACATGCGACTAAACTCAGATTTAATCAACATAAAGGGGGGTGCAGGGAGGATGTATTTTATCATACATCTGAGGAGTGTGTAGGTTAATTTCAAGCACAGTGGAATCTAGATGTTCATGGGAGGTTCTGCTTAGCTCCGCTGGACTCAGCTTGGTTTCAGTTACAGGCGAGTTAGGAGTGTTTCTTCACCTGGAGGAGAAGGTGAGGCACACGCAGAAGGCGGAGAAGGTTGGTGCCCTGGGATCCCCATGTCACGTGGTGAAAAGAAGAGCTGTTTCCCAAAGGAAAGACTCTGGGCTGACAGAGAAGCAGGAGCCACACAGCAGGACCCAGGGTTGGTCTCGGGTGCAGTGATCCGCTGGGAACATTGTCTTGGTTGGCCTTCGTCATCTCTTATGCGTCAGGAAACACTAAGCGTGACACACCATTGGAGGGATCCTGGTCCCTTGTTTTCTAAACCAAAATCAGACGCCATCCTGAGACTCAGACAATTTCTAAACTGATTTGAAAGCATGCTGTCAGACAAAGCACAAGCCTGGTCTCCATAATACTTTGTCTGGTCCTTGTTGGGCAAGCCAGTTGGGCATGTCCGTCCCTGAGTGTCCTTAGCGTCTGAAGAATCCTAATGCAGTGAGGCCGGCTCAGCTCTGAGGTCATTTCCATCGCGAAGAACATGTGATTCAATGGTTCTCTTGCAAAATTGATTACAGATTGGTTTTTCTTTTCTTTGGAACAGGGACATTGAGTGGAAACAGCAATTGCTCTCAAAAAGCTAAATCCAATCAAACTTTGTGCCATGATGGGAATATCCCATGGGCCTCTTGAGCACTTGAAATGTGACTGGTGTGACTGAGGATATGCATTTTTAATGACATTTTAATTAATTTTCATTTAAATTAGAATAGCCACAGCTCTAGAAATTATCAACTCATTTCAGCAAGACTTTCTTTGAGAAGCAGCTCAAATTCAGAAATAAAACCCTGTGTCTAAGTTTGGGCAGTGCATGTAAACCGGCCATCTCCTCCTCTCCTCTCTCTTCAGTCCCCTGCACACAGCTACTCCAGCTACGACTCCAGCAAACACGAGGGCGGAGAGCGAGGGGCCGAGGACCTGTCCCTGCACCGGGGGGACGAGGATGATGAGGACCACGAGGACCACGACGACGCCGAGAAGGTGGCCGAGACGGACGGCGTGGAGGCCGAGCGGCTGAAGGCTTTCAACGTGAGTCCCCCACCTCCCCGGTGGCTCACCGCTCACCCTGCACTCTCATGTCGCCTGCTGGTAAATGTGGATACTTTAGAGACGTGTTTTTTTAATTTGCAGAGGCATTTATTAAAAGTACATGAAATACTCTTTGCCAACCAGACACCAGAATGGCTGTGTTTTGCTTAGGATGTGAAGGCCCGTGTGGCCGGACACGGGCGTGTTGTGTGAGTATCATGTCGACCCGGTGGGTGAAGAGTCCACAGCCCTCCACCAGCTCGCTCTTCTGCTTCCCAGCTTGTTAATGATGCATGACAAAGAGTCCGTGGTCTGTGTGCAGAGACCAGTGCACTGTGCAGAGTAGCAAAGTGCCGGCCGTATTGCATTTCTCTCGAACAGAGAATTTGATGGGGTGCTTCATTGTCGCAGTCTACTGTTGCCTCCTGTGTTTTTTTTCTACACGATAGTCTATACTTTTCTGTCTGTCTGTGTCTGTCTGCCTTTCTCTCTCTCTCTCTTTTTCTCTCTCTCTTTATCCAACCATTGAGAAAGTCTTTAAAGGGTGTTTGCTTAAAATCTCTGGCTTTCCATTGCAAAGTTCTCCAGTGAATACACCAAAAAACAAGAGTATTTTTCCTATCCGTGATCAAGACAGGAAGCAAGGAACAGCCGAGAGCAGCCCTCCAAACCCTTCTCCTCTGTCTCCCTCTTGCCAACAGATGTTTGTCAGGCTGTTTGTAGATGAAAACTTGGACCGAATGGTCCCAATCTCTAAGCAGCCCAAAGAAAAGATCCAGGCTATCATTGACTCATGCAGGCGACAATTCCCTGAGTACCAAGAGCGTGCCAGAAAGCGCATCCGTACTTACCTCAAGTCCTGCAGGCGGATGAAAAGAAGTGGTTTTGAGATGGTGAGTTTTGACTGAAAACACAGCCCTAGATTCCATCCAAATCCCACATGTAAACCATGACACTATTTATTTTTTCATCCTAGTGTCTTTTTTTATTTTTTCCATGATGTCAGGTCACAGGGGTTCTGTTTGCTCGTTTTGTTTCCTCCCCCTTCTCCTTTTCATCTTCCTGAAGTATATTTATCCCTTGTTTATTCAACCAGGAACACCTCGTGAGCCCAGCGCTCTCAGGCCCACGTGGTATCGTGCCATAGAAAATGCGGGTGCTGTGAGTCAGATCCCATGAGAACCAGCATCTCATTCATGTTTGTTTGCTTTCTGTTACTACTGAAGTGGAGATGAGGATGAGCAAGCCTTGAGGCTTTCCATGGCCTGGGAGAAGGGCTTTCGGTGGAACGGGAGGAAATGGATGGGTCCATCTAAGCAACAGCGTTCTTGTGCCAACGCTTAACAGACAGCAAGCCTTGAAAGTAACCATCGGGGGTGGAGACCCTCATGTGAAAAATAAGGCTTTGTTGTACTCAGCGCATCTGTGTGCTTGTGGGTGAAAGCATGAGCTTTTATATTCAGCTGGGCTGTATACATGGGTGAGCTTATGCGGAGGTTAGATTACTTATGGGTGGAAATCAGATACTGTTTTTTTAACTTGGTTATAATTCAACTTGCTCTCTAAATGTACACCTGTAGATAGTACATGCATCTGCAGTGTATTTTTAATTTTTTAAATGTAGGTGAGCAGAAATGTATTGGGAATTTTCTGAAATCTTTTTTCCTCTCTCGGCTCCATACAAGCCAAGACCGTGAGGGTTTGTGATCTGCGCCTCTCATTCTTCGGTGCGAGGGGCCAGGAGCTGGTGTGGATAGGAGAGGTTTCAGAGGATGTCCTAGATGAGAAATCCTTTTTTCAGACGTAAATGAAATGACACAATAACAAATCCACCGTCTGCTATCAAATTTTCTGCATTGGCTTGTGAAAATATCATTGATATTTTTTTAAAAAAGGGACTGTTCTTATGGAGAAGCGGTGGTCTGCCTGGATGGGAAAGAGCATGGGTTTGGACCCCAGGGAGCCTGGCTTGGAGTTCCAGATTCACACTTTGTAGCTGGGTGGCTCCGGCAAGCCACCTCAACTGCCTGTGTCAGACACCTCTCTGCGGTGACACGAATCCCTAAGTTATAAAGCTATGAGAATTCTACAAACTGTCGTACGTAAAGCTCTGGGAGCCATTTCTGACCCACAGTCATCACTAAATAAAATCTTAACTCTGAAAATATTATCAAATATTTTTTAATTCATCATCTGAAAAAAGCTCCTATTATACAAGCAAAAAATCCTCCATGTAAGTAGTTGCTTGCTTCTCAGAATAACTACATTAAAATCAGAGGTGTGGTGCATCAGCCATTTTAAAATAAGAATGGCATAGCTGTGTCTGATCAAACTAAATTATTACAAACAGAGGTGATGTGGTATAAAAGAGGAGAGACACTTGGGGGGGAAAAAGCTATTTTCCCCATTATTGAATTATTAAAAAGTTATTATCATTTACCCAATAGGAGAGAGATAACAGACAAAAAGGATATCTAAGCAGGTGTAAAAGCCCAGAATCCTGGCATTGACCTAGGATCTGGCTCAGGAGCACTAAGCAGCTGATGTGAAATTCCAATTAAACTGTGTCGCACTCAGAGTACAAAGTATATAACAAAGCTTCCTTTTTCAGTTACAATAAAGATAATATTATATATCAATATTTTTTATTTTAACAGCATCTGGCATTACTCTTTCTTCCTAATCATTTAATGTTTAGAGATTATTTTCTTTGGCAAAATTTATTATTTTTCATAGTATAAATTTTTCATTAATCATTATTTCAGAGAAGAACTAATTGTCATAGAGAACTCTCAGTTTCTCTAAGGCATATTTGAGACATTCGTGGGTTTTTTCATTAATTGTATTTTTTACTTCCATGGACATCTGTTGTCAACCTCACACTATGCATAGAGGACAGAAAGTTGACTACTTCAAAGTCAAGGGATTTTATAAAGGAATCTTATGCTGTACAGAAATGCTACTAAATTTGAATGTAATCATTTCATTCACTCTTTATTTAATCTTACTAATAAAAGCCTGGGTGGTCCTTACACTGTCACGCCATGATGCCTTCATGCCGTCACAAGATGGCTGCATGCACAGCAGAGGCGAGTCCCGGCGGCTGCTCCATGCAACTTCCACCGGGGTTCCCGCGGCCCTGCGTCCTCCACAGAGGCGGGACCCCCGGTTCTGGCCTACCTCTTTGGAGCAATCCATCGAGAAGCCCCAGATGGGTGGGCGAGGCCTACCTCTTTGGGGCGATTGATCACAGGGCTCCCGCACTGTGAGAGGGCACAGGCCAGGCTGGGGGACCTCCTCCCCCAGGTGCACAAATTTCGTGCACTGGGCCTCTAGTAGATATATAATGCACATAACATTATACAACATAATAAGGAGAAGTTGAAGAGATGTCTGATCAGTTAATTAGGAAATTATAACATGTTCCTTGATTAGTATGATTCATTGAGGTGACAAGTTGTGGGAAGTGAAGTGCTTAAGTAATAATACAAGGCCTAATGTAATGGGTGCACAGATTTCGTGCACTGGGCCTCTAGTAGATATATAATGCACATAACATTATACAACATAATAAGGAGAAGTTGAAGAGATGTCTGATCAGTTAATTAGGAAATTATAACATGTTCCTTGATTAGTATGATTCATTGAGGTGACAAGTTGTGGGAAGTGAAGTGCTTAAGTAATAATACAAGGCCTAATGTAATTAAATGTTAAATGAACAACACGGATGCAAATTGATATTGTACTTTAGCCCATTTTTTATGCATTACTCAGCAGTGCACTCCTGGCAATAACAAATTAGACCTGCCATCTAGTTGACACTTGGAAGTTTGATTTGTTTTATGTGTCACTTCATTGACATGGAGTGTGGGGAGGATTCTGTGTCACTGTGAATAGTCATCATCTATAACAGGTGGGAAAAGGCATGAGTAGAGCAGAGAGGAATCACAGCTAAGTATTGTACACGAATACTTTCCCCAGCATAATTGTTAAGTTTGATATAATATCAACAGGTAATCTTTTTAAATTGAAAGAACTCTAAACAAAAATTATTTTTCTATTGTGTTTAGTGTAGGTAGACATGAAGAAAATGTATCATTTTCAGTATGTGATTGTTTTCACATGCAAATTATTCTACAGTACTTAACAGGCCAACAAGGCAACCTGAAGTTTTTAACATTTTTTTGTAATGGAATGGTTAAGTGTAGGGTATTCTACAATGAAAGGGGCATTCAATAAACTTAGCTCTTCAGTTATTTGGGATGTCTAAACCAGGAGACTCCTAAAGTAGTGTGAAATATTGAATTATATGTTTCCTGCTGACTTTGATTAAGAAATTCAAAGAAGTATTCCCATAGAATACTTTAACACAGCATATTTTAGTACTTTACTTGAGAATCTTGGCATTCATTTTGACTAATTTTCTGCTGTCATTAATACAAAATCTATTCGTGTTTAATTATTCGGTACTATCCCTCAAGAATTTACATTTCAACACAAATACTTTCAATTAACTGCCTATAATAATTCAAGTTCATATTTATGCATTTTTATTTAACTGGAATTATCAAGACCCCCACAGATCTTGATTGCTAAAGCAGCCAAAATTTCTGTCATCACCATAAGTATTTTCTATAATGCATGAAGTATAATAACTGCATTATGACACTTTTCTACACATTCTTCACATTTTTACCAATTCATTGCTAACGAACATCTCAAACCATAAAATCCTCAGTGTTGAATATCAAAGGGTATGTTTTGTGAAAAATCTAATAAGCTTGATCCAAAGTACTGTCTTACTTTTCATTAGATTTTAAAGACCCCATGAGTTAAATAGCCATTAACTTAATCCTTAGACAGAAATATCAAATTGTTCTTGAGTCTATTGTGTGGCTTTGGCAAACATATTCCGCTACTTTTTGTGAAGAATATTTGTTGATTGTTCCGGAAAAGAAATGCATTTCTTCAGGGTGTCCTGAGCCTGAATTCAAGAGTACCTGTCATAGATAAGATCGCAGAGACAAAGCTTTATAAAAAGGAGGGGTTGGCCCATAGCTGAGTGTCACCTCTGTTACAGGATACGATTCCCATGCTGCATAGGTTTAATGCAAGTTTATAAAACTCAAGTGAAAATATTTAGGTGAGATGATCAAAGACTCTTAGTCCTTCATTCCTCCTCTACCTCAAATTTTGCCACTGTACCAAGTTCTATCAACTATCCTAGATATTTGAATTCACAAATCTCAGCCTCTTGAAAAATGACCTATTTACTTTCATTTTAATATTATGCAAGTGACTGTGTGTTTGAAGGAATAAGTCTCATGCAATTACTTGGTAAAATTTTGCCAAGGACATTGTCCACTAAGTTACTCAGTGTCCACTACAAATGATTTTATTTCAGAAACTTCTAGAAGGAAAAGCAAGAAAAAAAATGGTTTCTCCTGCAGAAATAGTGCTTTTATGTTTTCTCATCACGAGGACTCGGTGTAACCTTGTATGTTCACTTTTGTGCCTTGCCTCCAAGAAGTTCAGAGTCAAAGTCTTTCTAAGGTCCCCATTTCCCTTTTGCTGAATTTATTTTAGTGTGCATGTGTCTGTTTTAGGGAAAAAGTGAGATGTGAATTCTAAAAACAAATATGTAAATAATCTAATTATGGCAACACCATACTTTCATACTATCTTCTAAATTCTTGTCCTTAGTATTTCTTTTTAATTGTGTCCTATAATACCCATTTCAGTAATTTTGATATTTGATCTCTTGATCTTACAGTTCTTTCATCAGAAAATAAATATTTAATGCTTAGGAATAATACATTTTTAAGAGAATTTTACTAATTACATCATTTGCTTCTATTCGTCTAATGCAGCCCCAAAGTAGAGGGATCAGAAT